GGTTGTCAGTATGTTAAAGGTACAAAACAGATTTTAATAGCAGTGTGCATTGTTGAATTTACTGGTTTACATTCAAATTTTCTTGTTTGTAAATTACAGTTTTATACTGTAAAATTTACAGTTTTTGGCCGTAAATGTGTTTACTGTTTTTCTGTATTTTTTACAAAATTATTCTGGCAACCACAGCTGCCAAAATTCTTTTGTAAAAACTACAGAATTTTTTTTTACAGTGTACATACATATATACATATGTATTTAAATATTTCTGCATGCATTGACCTAAAATATACGTGAGTGGAATTTTAGTAACAAATGGACTGCACAAATAATAACACCAGTAAGAGCAAAGACCTTGTAAAATATAATTATGTTGGAATATATGGCTAACATAAGGTCTGCTTTGCTGGGAAATAGCACGTTCTGGAACAGTGACGGTCATTGAAAGAGAGCAGTGAGGTTTCTGTCCTGCATTCACCTCACACCGCTGCTGGTCCGGCTGATACGAACTTAACTGAGTCCACAGTGTTACTTAACGTGCTTATTTTAGGTTTACAAGAGCTGAAAATGCATTGTCACAATTTACTGTCCATTTAATGTCAAGCTGTGCTCAAAGGACCTATACATTAAAACAGCAATAACAAAAGAAAGTCCCCTTTTTGTCAACAAATCACCATTCTCAGCAACAAACCATCTTTTCAATCAAATGACATGGATGAAAGGTAGAGTTAAAAGAGTAAAAAAGGCTTGCCGTGCCTTATCGCAGCTGTGAAATGTGACAGAAATAGCCGCTGTTGCAAACACAACTCAAAAAATGGTCAAGGACTAGGTTTTGGCGTCACCTCCAGAACTGCAGAAAATATGCTGCCCTCACCTTTCCAGTACACAGGAGCCATTGTAAGAGCGCCACCTGACGGCGGACAGAGGAACTGCAGGTGCATCCCATGCACACAGAAGAGCTGTGCAGCATCAGATCTAATATTAAACAGTTTTTAATCTTGTATTACATACATTAGGTTTTATTTAGACAAAGCAGTGGGGAGTTATTAAGAAACGAAGATCAGAACGGACAGTAAGACAAATTGAGGCATCTACTATTCATCTGTTTTATATTTATTTATCCGTCTTAAAGGGATAGTTCACCCAAAAATGAAAATTGTGTCATCATTTACTCATCCTCATGTCGTTCCATATGCTGAACACAAAAGAAGATATTTTGAAGAGTGCTGGTAATCAAACAGTTGGTGGTTGCCATTGACTTCCATAGTATTTTTTTTTCCCTTACTACGGAAGTCAATGGCAACCACCAACTGTTCGATTACCAGCAATCTTCAAAAAATCTTCTTTTGCATTCAACATAAAAAAAGCAACTCATACAGGTTTGGGACGACATGAGGGTGAGTAAACGATGACAAAATTTTCATTTTTGGGTGAACTATCCCTTTAATAGATCCAAATGTAATGTCATGTCGAAAGCACGCAATAAACATCTGAATCTGGACATTCGGAATACGATTTCTTAAAGATTCAGCTTTTTTCCTGCATGCGTGCCTTAGAATTTAGAAAAGAAGGGAGAAGTGAAGGAGGAGTTAAAGTTGAGGCAGAATATCATTGGTTCGTTCCAGGAGTGACGTTGCAGTTGGGCTCCCTCTAGCGTCTGGAGCGCGACACTGCGGCGCCAGCAGCGGCTCGGGGCCCGGGGGTCCTGCTGGACTGAAGAGCAAACCACCTCACCTACCCACCCCGAGGGACCCCGAAACAACCTCACAAATCAAGAGCTCCTTTTAGTGAAGGCAGGGGAAGGACCAAATCAAAAATCAACAATGAGGTTAAAAATAGGGGGTGAATCGGAATTAGAGCCAAGGTTATTTTAGTTAACTAAACCCATAACAAATTGTTACTTAATGTTAACTGAAATGTAAAAAAAATTCTCATTTCCATTTAATTTGTTAATGTTCTAAAATAACTCTACATTAAGGTGCATTAGTTAATTACATTAGTTAACATGAACTAAGAATGACCAATACTTCTACAGCATTTGTTAATCTTAGTCAGTGTTAATTTCAACATTTATTAATACATTAAAATCAAAAGTTGTGCTTGTTAACATTAGTTAATGCACTGTGAATTAACATGAACTAAAAATGAAGCGAGCTGTTAAAAGGTGAGATTATGAAAAAGTAACAATTTTGGGGAAGAGAGAAAAAAAAAAAGTGGACCCCAAAAGACAGGGAGGGTCGGCCACACGAACACACAAGCTCACAGCGTATGTCTGGATTAATATGTATTCAAGCAATTATGGCAAACTGCAATCAAGTAAAAGGAGACGGGGGCCACTGCACTCCATTAAAAGGAACGACTCTTGTATGCATCTTTCACACAGGACTGCTTCCGCATTGCTGCGCACACACACACACACACACACACACCCATAGGCTGACTGACAACTCTGGCAAGACTCGAGTCGCCCACGGGAAACACAAGCATACAGTTCACCATCAAATAAGCCTTCCCACCGTTCAGATATAGAGCAGACCATCAACACCAACCCAATTAGCTTCAATTCCTGGATAAATGGAAACTGGGTAGACAAAACATGCAAGAAAATACAAAAAACTCTAAACTATTTGGAAGCCAAATTTAAGGACCAGAGGTCAGTCGTTGATCACATTAAAAAGACTTAAAAACAGGATTCTTCCAACCACTGGCCTTAACAAAACAAGCACATGGGGAAGCTAAGTTAGGACAACCAAAGCTGTATAGGAAGTCTGGATTCAGGTCACATGTCAATGGCTAATGTATTATGGATTACAGTAAGTCCATCAAGTTCTAGTGAACTATCTCATCTGATGCTCAATCTGTCTTTCCGACATGATTATACTCTGAAAACTGGACAATTAAGCACCTCATGAATGTATAAAACACTTGTACAAGAGTTCAGACAGTAATAATCTGCATCAAGTTTGATACTATAATTGAAACCGCTATGCAGAAAATGGTGTATTAAACAAGAAGTTGGCATATCAAATTCAAGCTTATTGGAGAAATTGCATATTTTGACCACTGCTGTGCGTCTATTTTGGTGTCAACATTCATGTCTAACTGTTGTCATTATTAGCGCCATAAAAGATGGGACCACTTGCAATCTCTAGCTATTTTTCTTTATAAAAACTTCAAATACTATCAGTATTTGATCTCAAGTCTCTGCCTAAAATTACTTGGTTGGAGCCACAAAAACCATCAGGTTTATCAAGTACAGAAAATGGTACCCACCATTAATACTGATGCATTTGCTGGATTGTTTAATGGCATGTTCAGTCTTTCTCCAGGACTATACTATATCACTCTCACATAAATGCATAGAGATTGTGATGGATGCTGGTTTTGACACGTCGACCTTTCAGATTGAACGCAGAATTCTTACATGACCCTAGTGTCTCTGTTGAATAAGATGGACGTGTTCGACAATATGTTCTTGTCAGATTTAGTGAGTCGCTATGAGGGAAGCAACCTGTACGGATGAACTGTAGAAGGTGATTCTACTGCGACACATTAAGGCTGGAATATACTCACACTACCAGACTTTCCGAACACAAACTTGCACAGAAATATGCGCCTCGTTGTTACTAGACGCATGTCAAATGAAAACAAGATGCGTTCTAAAAATATCAAACGTTTGATATTCCCTGACTGGATGGAATCATAGTCTGGAGCTCAAAAATATTGGAGTCTGTGCCCATCAAAATGGCGCTTTCCACAGCGTGGTACAACTCGGCTCGGCACGGCTCAGTACGGCACGGCACGGTTCGGCTCGGTTTGCGTTTCCACTGCAGTTCAGTACCGCTTTAGAGTGCGCGGGATTATTCACATGTCGTTATAGTTGCGCCGCCTCTACTACCACGACTCCTAAAAAAAACTTTTTCATTCCGCGTCGCCCCATCAAGCTCTCGCTGGATCCGCTCCTCTGCTATCAACGAGAGGAACGCATTCTTTCGCAACAGAAAACAAAACTTTTTGGTTGTTAAAAAAAGGTGCGCTCGTTCAAGACAGTTGCATTCGATCCTTCGCTGGCTGTGCTGATTTAAATCTAGTGGTTCTGTTGTGTTTGCGTCGCAAGTTCAGTGACGCAGGTAGTGACGATTCTCTCCGGCCAATCCGTGATCAGCAGAATTTACACGTCACGTTTTGGTAACGGTACAGTTCACTTGGAACCCCAACCGAGGTGGTACTAAAAAAAGTACCAGGTACCAGGTACTGTACCCAGTGGAAAACCCCCAAAAAGTGAACCGTACCGAGCAGTACCGTGCCGTACCATGCAGTGGAAAAGCGCCAAAACACTATGCAATTTTCTGTGAAATCAGTCAAGCCTGAATGTCCAAAAACTGCTGACTGGCTCCAACTTTTGGGAACAAGCCCAGGCTCCTAAATTGGTGTCAAAATTGTGTAGTGTATTCCAGCCTTTACACAAACTAGAGCCACCTTTGTTTTTTACTATGCCAAAGTTAGTACCAGTTAAATCCAAACAAGCCTGATGACAAGCTGATTTCCTAAACACAAAAGAAAAAGGCCTGCTACACCGATCACGTGGAAAGGACAAGAGTGGTTGGACATACTTCACAGCACACATACACACTTTATAAATATTTGTCTTTTGGGGGGCATGGTGTGGATTTGGTTCCCATTGGTGACGAAATGGATCAAAGGAACTTGGGCGAATTATGAAATGGCAAAGGTATAAGGTCCTCTAGAAGGTACCAAAACCAATCTATTTGTTCATTTAAAAACAACACAAATCAAGAAAAACAAGGTCGACCCTCCTATTGCCGCCAAAAAAAGCAGGATTCTCCTGCGAGATTTAATCTGTGCCTTTAGGCCCTCCTCGGAACATGATCAAAAACTCATGTCCAACAAAACCTGCATACATTTATTCACAAATGTAAAACTCTAGCCTGCATTTCATAAGGGCCAGATGCAGCAGGCAGAGAATTTCCAATGTCGTTTATAAATCAGACTCATTTCATGAGTACAGTACAAAGTAGGATTTCAAGGTAAAAATCCCAAAGATAGCACGTTAGCAGTATTCCACAGTCAAAAACGAACCGTGACTTGATTCTTGATTCGTACCAGCCAAAGGGCTCGGCGGATTCTCGCTCCGGTCACACATGCACTGTAAATCCAGCCGAAGGGCTGTCTAACTGCAGTGACAAATGAAAAAAAGTACAGTTCGTGCAGAGTAACATACAAACCAAAACGACACACAGAGATCTCTAGAATCAATATGAGAGTTCTAAAACCGGAAGCCTAAGTCTTTAAACCGAAGCTTATGATTTAGAACCTCCAGGGAATATGAAAAATAAGATCTCTCTGGACAGCTCACACTGTGTAAAACGTTACATGGAAAACAAGTTTTTTTTTTTCAGACAGTCTTTTTTCGGGGCTGTACTGGTTTGAAGGTGCGACAGGAAGAATATGTAGGAGAGAATTGTGGGGGAAGGTGTTAATGGGAAGTGAGACAGTAAAGCCCCAGAGTCCAGGGTGGGGGTGGGGGGGGTGCGATACCCTGGTGCAAAACCGGACTGAACTGGATCGAGACTGGTCCAGGTTAGGTCAGCTGATGTGGCGCTTCAAGCATTTCCATTAAGAAGGTGTCGATTGGGGTGTCTCCAATCAGCTTGAAGAAGAACAGGTGCTCCAGGCACTTAAGGCCAATAGAGCGCAGCGCTGGCAGCCGGAGGAGGAGCTTGGCAAACCTGAAAGCCAAGTGAGATGTAAAGAAACTGCAATGAACTGTAACCCAATCGGCATATCTTTCTTCCCTCTATGGAAATTCTAGATGGGATTTTTACTTCAATAACCACACTGTTGCAATCTATTGAGGGACAGAAGAGAGAAAAAAAACACATGTACTCTACCTGCCCTGCTGGTCAGGATATCTCTGTTTACAATAAGCCTCCAGCGATGCATAGACCTTCTCTCTCAGTAACTCCACTTCACTTGGGCTTGACAATCCCTTTGCATCTGCACATAAAACAACGAATAAAATGTAAAGCTGCCTTTATGACTGAACAGCAGGGGTGGAAATCAGCAGGAACATTCAGCGTAACAATATACTGGTCTCTGGATGTGTAGCTATTTAAAATTGCGACATATTGCAATATCTTTATTGCTTGTTTCTCTTGATCTTAACTGGACTTTGGCGCTTTGCACAATTACATTCTTGGCTAATTCGGAGTTTGGACTATGGTTGAATAGAAACGGAGCGTACAAATGAGGAATGCACTGATAATGCAACAGTATCAGTCCATCACACAAACGTCACTGTGAAGTTTGTAGTTAAATTGTTCATTCAGATATTTTAATGGCAAAGAGAGTTAAAAGATTAACATACTTTCTAATATTAATCGATGGTGAGGAATGGGAAATAAAGAGCACTTCTGTTGCATGCGCTCGAATACGGTTCGCTCACTCAGCACATATGCTTCATTAAACAAGCACAAGTAAAAATACTAAATGCTACATTATATGTATAACAAGTGGATCCCTACACTACAAGAAACTGTCATGTAACGACTGTACCGGTGCACTAGAGTAGCTCTAAATGTGTGCTCTGCCATTAAATGAAAGATAACAAAATAAAATGATAAAATGACCAGGAAAACAGATCTGACTTGTCGGAGAAAGTGTAAGAACAGCAGCATGAACTGCCGGTGATATCTATATATGTACTTTTAAGGTAATCAGCCAACATAGCTAGTTTTTATTGTTGGCATTTTATTCAATTTTGAATATCCAAATGTTAGGGAGAAGAAGAATAAAAAAAACTTTTAGATACCAATCTGGATATGCGACGGACTTCTTTTACGCTCATGTTTAGTAGCTCCTTTGAAGGATTCTTGAGTAAAATGGCTCTATATTTAACAAAGTGTGACCGGTTTTATCGAATACAAAAAATACAACCCGCATTTTATGCAATTAAAATGTATCAGATGTATTAAAAATGTATTAAAAAAAAGGTATCAGCAAGTACCAAAAATTTAAGTATCTGTATTGTATTTTTTCTGGGAAAAAGTGGTATCGGAACATAGCATGAACGAATGTGAATTGAATGTGTATGACTGTGCGGTCTGACCTGGGTTGAAGAGGATGATGGCTCTCAGGCAGCCCAACTCTGTTTTATCCATCTGCATGTCCCTCATCTTGCTCACCAGCTCCGTCAACACCCTGACGCCATTAAAATGAGGGCAGGAAGGAGCAAGGGATGAAAAGCAGGAAAGGAAAGGTGGGAAAAAGAGAAGAGTCAGGTTAAAATCTGAAGTACTACAATTCGCATTTACGCAATAAGAAAATAGCTTGATGGAGCCATTTTCACAAGCACTTCAAAATATATACAAAACACAATCATAAAAATCAATGGTAATATAACAGCCTTCTTATCTCAAAAAGAACAATCAGAAATTAATGTTTTAGAAACATAGCGCATGCCACGTAAGATATAAGTCACTCATGTTAACATTAGTCACTGTCGGGCCAAAAGCGAGTGTGCTAGTGCGTGCCAGTTGCGATTCCATTGTCACTTCCGGGGCTTGATCTCTGCCTCATCGGGGCTTCCTCAGGGCCAACGCCCAGGGATTTTCGACCCGCCAAATACCTTGGGCCAAAGCGGGCCAACTGGGGCCAGAGGAGTGGTCATGAATAAAGGTGGAGTTTAGACGGTCGGCACCGCTACTCACTTCCCATGTTTTCATATCAAGCTACCAGCTTTAATCAACATTTAAAATTATTTTAATGGCAAAACTCACTGCAGACACCAGCGAGTGTTTGAAATAACTTACGAATGGGCTCCGATGGGAATTCTGATCACCGTATGAGGCAGAAATGTATTATATGCGATGTTATAAGGCTACGCTAACCATCGCCACCATAAATACATGTTATGCTTATTAAAATAATGACAGCATGAAGAACTAGACAAATCATATATGATTATAATCATGTATTTATTTGGTGTCATATTTGTTCTGTCTCTTCTCTGCGCCTTTGTTGATACAGGACTTTTGCATCCGCACGTCATAAATTTCATATACTCTGTAACTCCTAACTCTGGTTTTCTGTCTGTGAGCTCCCTCTGTTGCTCGCTCGCTTTGGGCCTTGCGGCTTGAGGTCTGAGGCTCGTTGTTAGCCCTGGCTCGCACTGGCCCGACAGTGGAAACGCAGCTATTGTGAGTCCAAGCAACACTTTCAATCACACAGATATTCGTACACAAGGTCAGTTTGGTCTTTACCTGCCCCAAACAGCCCCAGACATAATTTAATCCAAAATAAACTGTCTCAAGCTACAGGCTTTCCTGACTGCTGCTGTTTGTTTATGGCGTGTGGCGGAGTGTCATTACCTGTCGAATATGGCCCCAACCTCTGCATTGTGCGCACTCTCCCTGTGTGTTCAATCACAATGTGTTATTAAAATGTCATTTCACATTTCATTGTTATATAATGTCTCCCCACTCCAGAAAGGCCCAGGCAGAGACGTTAAGACTCCACGTATGATGGCGGTAGGCCCAAAGAGTAACAAGCTACAGGCTCTTGTTGAAAGGAAGGCGGACGATCATGGGTTGGAAGCAGCAAAGCTTTAAATTACAATTCCTTTTTAAAATCTGTTGAGCATCAGTTAAAATAAGTAAAAATTAAATGTAATTAATGTGTAATTAACACTTAATTTCTAGCTAATTTTATAACAAAATAAAAAGCCTTTATGTACAATGCATAATAAATGTATTCATAAGGTGCCTTGTAATGCATTCAAATCTTTTAATAAATAATTGTAGCCAAATTTAAAATGCATTATAATATTTGAAGGTTTGTTTGTCAAGTGAGTTAATGCATCATACTTTCTAAAAGTGTAACTATGAATAGATAAGTTTTAGAATCTATTACAACTATGGCTATAATTATTCATGAGGGCATACAAGGTGCCATTACAAGGCATTATTAATGCATTTAAACTACTTTTCTAATGCATTATATAAAAAAGCTTTTTTATTAGAAAAATACAAATGTTTAATGGAAAATTTATAATTTTTCCTGACACGAAAATGTTGATTAAAAAAATGTATATTTAATTTTAATTTCAGGTTTTTGCAAGTGCGGTCAGTGAACACCTGAACAAAAGTAATGAAAAATCATTACTGTTGAGCACTGAAGAAATATATTATTATTTTTGCTGTTGTGGAATATAACCGATCATTGACTTAAAGTATTATTATTATGTACTATAACATCAGCATCTCCTAATTGCTCAAAATGCACATAAAATTACTCTGAACACGCATCAGATTTTGCACAGAGGGTTAAGTAGCATTTAAAGCCAATAAAGCAAAGCGCGAAGCATGTGCACACACACAGCACCAACGGGAGGACAATGAAGCGCTGCAAGAATCAGGTGAGTTGGACAGTGAAGCACAAGACATGGAGGCTCATTTCTGAAGCAGAGACATTATGACAAGATGAATGGCAACGAAAGACAATTTCATATGAACATCACAACAAACTGTAGCACAGAACATCTAGAATGAGCTCAATTAAAACAACAGCCTGTAGCTCATTATTCCTGGATTTGCAGGAGACAAAGATAAAATATGGAGTCTTGAGAAGTTATGGAGAGAAATGTGGTAAATTTGTTTCTTAATATAAACAATCGCTGTAATTACCAGCAGATCAAGAGTGAATGTCAGAGCACACTTCATACATGTGCACTGTATTGATCATGTAAATGGGAGTGTGTCGAGACTATAAGCAGAGGAGACCATTGGTGCACATATAGGTGTCTGCATGTATGTGTATGTCCTGTCTGATCGTGCAGTGTCAGTCTATAAAAGCACACTATATACACAGCAGCGTCAAGGCAGCAGGCTGTCAGGAGGTAAAAAAAGGTATTTTTCTTTGTCATGACACAGGAAAATCCAACCACCTTTGCAGCCTTAAATGTGTCAAGAAGCAAAGCTGTTAAGGTTCATGAGCACAGGTCTACCACAAATCATGATACGATATTTCTTGCCTAATCCTTTTCACACATAAGCACAGCAGGTCACATGCACAACTTTTTGAAACCTATAGCGAGCAAATCTAATAAAGCTAAGACCTCTAGAAGATCAATACAAGGCTAGCCTGTCCGCAGTCATGTGACATGACTATTACCTGTCAAAGATGGCTCCCACCCCTGCGCTGTGAGCACTGTTCCTGTGCACGTGGAGGCCGGTGGCCAGCAGAATGCCATCCTTCACCGTGATGGAGCGATGAGAGAATGACGCGATCAGTAGCTCATTCCAGCCTGGTCGACAAATGAAAGCAGCAAAAGATGAGGGGGGGATCACTACTGAGAAAAGCTAATTATTAAGAGTTTGCTAAGGGAAACATAAAAAAATCCTGTTTGCAGTTACCAGTTTTGATTTTAAAAACATTCAGTCAGAAAGACAAAGGCAAATAGGTTTACCAGCACGCAGCAGGATGACCTGGTCATCCAGAGACAGCTCACTGAAGTGAGGGATCCGTTTTGCCCACTCCACCAAAGTGAACAGCTGTTTATCAGCCGCCTGGCAGATATTTGTGACTGGGTCGTTCGGCTGAGGAGAGGAAACAAAAGTATTGTGGGTAAGTAGTAAGGAGAGGGAATGAAAAAATCTTGAAAATAACATCATGCAAGGCTTTTTGTAATTTAGCAGTAGGAATTTGCATTTCAAAAACTCTGAAGAAGGGATGCATGATAAATTATATCATATTGAGATTGCAATTAAATTTATGTTGATAACGATGATAAGCTCTGGACATTTTTACTCAATATGGCAGTGGTCGGCAACAGGCGGCCCATTTTGGCCAGCCAGCAATAATATCTGGCCCGCGCCCACAGCCAGATTATTTTGATAGCGGCTGGTTCTGAAATAGATCTGTCATGACAGCAACAGTTACTCACATTCAGAGTGTGTGATCGGAGTGGAGCGGTGTACAATTCACGAGTACAACTTATGCCAACGACCCGTAATATAACTGCATATTTAGCAAGAATTCACAAGTTAAACATTTAGCTAGCTTGATAGAGAAAGATCACTCAAATCAAAAAGAATATGAAGGCTATAATGACGGCAATGAGAGGGAAGTTATAGTTCTCAAGGAATTTGTCTGTTCCTTCTAGATACTGAATATTTTCAGCTGAATATTTTCAGTGACAATGTTTGGATTTGAAATCAAAATAATGGATAAATGTTGTGTTTGTGGTAAGCAGACACGGATCAATAGCGGACTACTGTGTGAAAACTGCTTCCCCTCTCACAAGAGTCACCTAAGAGGGGGATTCCCCCCATTTTCAAAAATGAAATTCAGGCCCTGAATAAATGTCTAAAAATCCTGATTGGAGTATCACTATAAATAGTTACAAAAGATAAAAAAGAACGTTTTAAAAAGATCGGTATCAGTGATCGGTATTGGCAGATACTGCTTTCTGTGATCAGCGATCGGTCTCAAAAATCCTGATCAGAGCACCCCTAGTACCTAGTACTTTTTTTAGTACCACCTCAGTTGAAGTTCCAAGTGAGCCACACCGATACTAAAATGTGATGAGTGAACACTGCAGATCACTGATTGGTCAGAGAGAATCGTCACTACCAGAGTCATTGGATTTGTGACATGAAACACCTAACCCAATAGATTTAAATAGTCAGCAACAGCCACCGCAGTATCTTTTTTCTCACAACTTTTTTAAACGACTTGCTTTTAACAAACGTCACACGCAACTTGAAAAAAGAAATGGCTGTATCATGGTCAGTGGATGAGGTGGCAGAGCAACTATTACAATCAGTCTATAATCCCACCCAACTTTGAAGCGGTACTAAACTGCAGTGGAAAAGCGAGCCGAGCCATGCCAAGCAGAGTTGTACCACACAATGGAAAAGCGCCATAATATGCAACTTCCTGCTTTTAATCAGTCCACCAGCTAAAATTAGAGCCCAATTACCTTGAAGTTCTGGATCACGTAACAAATAATCCTAACACTAAAGATCATAAATCCTCTTTAACATGCTTATCTGTAACTTACAGAGCTTCCCCCTGAGCTGCCATCTGTATGCAGCTCGGTCTTCTGCTCCACGGCCATCTCTGCTTCTAGAATCTTCTCTACAGGCATCTCTTCATTCGCGGGGCTGGTGGACTCAACCTCTCCTTCACGCTCCTTGTTCCTCTGACGCTCCTCCTGAACTGCTGCATCGCACACAGGGAAATGAGGAAGAGGGACAAGATGGGGAAACAGAGATGAAGGATAGGGCGGAGGACAGATCAACAGGATGGGAAAAGGAAAATGAACAGAGAGAAGGGTAGTGAACAGGGAAAGCAGTAAAGATGTAAACAGGAGCAGAGAGACAGAGATATACAGATACAAGTAGTTCCTGGTTAGTTTTCAACATTCATTCACACACTGAAGTCCTCCAGCGACATTCCTTCTTCAATGACCCAGTAAAAGCTATAAAGGTCCCTTATTGCGCATATTCAAAACAACGTTCTCACATGACTAATATGTTTTTTGCTGCATCATGTAATTTAAAGGGGTCATATCATGAGGAATGTAAATGTAAACACTGTAAATTCAGTTCCCAGTAAAAAACAAAAAACAAAAAAAAAGACTCCTGAACTTTTTGCATGTTACATCAGGCACATGATTGTCCACATTTACAAATACGTCCCTTATTGCGCATATTCAAAACAACGTTCTCACATGACTAATATGTTTTTTGCTGCATCATGTAATTTAAAGGGGTCATATCATGAGGAATGTAAATGTAAACACTGTAAATTCAGTTCCCAGTAAAAAACAAAAAACAAAAAAAAAGACTCCTGAAATTTTGCATGTTACATCAGGCACATGATTGTCCACATTTACAAATACAATGACTATTAGGTAGGGTTGGGCGATGTCTACCAAATTGGCATCGGACGATGCATACTGTGAAATGGGGGGGGGGGGCTATTGAAAGCGGTTTCAATAGCGGCTCCCTGATGCCCGCAATTTATACACAGTCGCCTATACTTACCCAACGATATAACTCCGAGAAATGCCTCCCATGTCGTAGGCTATTTATTCCCTTTAGGGTTTCCGTAGTACACTTCAATTCCTTTCTGAACACAGAACTGGGATGCGGCGGATTGCCGGGGGGGGGGGATCACGATGTCAGCTTAACATCGTGATGTCTGTCAGCCATCGGCGATAGACGATGGCCCAACCCTACTATTAGGTAACAGAAACTTGGTACATCCAGACTTGGTAAAGTAATAAAGAGAAAGCGGGATGATACTATTACTTTTAAATACCAGAAAAACTAATAATAAGAGCAAAATGTTGTGCCCTTTCTGGCGGTGTAGCACCTATACCTCTGCATATCTTTCTCAACATAAGAAAAGCTGAAGTTTATTTTTAACACGGTTCCTAAACATGTCAGTCTGACTTTAAGCATTAATGGAGGAAAAAAATTAGAACATATCACTTTAAGAATATCTTTTCAAAGAACCATATTAAATGGTGAATAAATGATCTTAAAAAATAAAATGCAAAAAAAGTTACATTAAGTAGATCTCAAGAAAAAAAAAGATGAAATGACCCCTTTAATAGCCATGACTAATATCCTACAGAGCAATTCTTTCACCATTCCCACATTCACTAACTCTCTCTCTCTCTCACACACACACGCACATGCGCACACACACACAACCACCACTCCCTCCCTCCCTCCCTGTTTTCTCCTTACATCGTTGTCGTTCATCTTGGACCACTACAGAAGGAGAGGGAGGAAGAGAGAGAACGAGAGGAAACAAGAGGGAGAGAGGGGGACAGGTGTTAGTGGTGACAACAGCCCTCCCTCCCCCTCTGCTCTCCTCTCTGGTTTGTGCCGTGATGACTATGACTTAGCCACAATACCCTCTTTACATTCAGTGTCAACAATCTTATAAAATCTACATGTCTCTGCTACACATACTCGTCACTGCGGTCTTTCTGTCTGGCTTAATTCTAGAAAACATTTGCTCTCTCCTTAGTGACAGACCGATATGTTGGCCAAGCAAATTTATCATAAAATAAATAAATGAAATACAAAAAAAATATACATTACTGGGTACATCCCAATTGCCATTAAATTGTACATAATATTTAAAGGAATAGTTCACCCAAAAATCAGCACCAGCTTATTCAAAATGTAGATGATTTTCTTTTTTCAGCTGAAGAGAAATTATGGTTTTGAAGGAAAACATTTTAGGATTTTTCTCCATCTAATGCAAGTGAATGGGGCTCAACGTAGACAATAAGGCAGTTCTTGTCGCCTACGTCACGCGTGACATTCCCAACATGCATACGTCACGCAAGAGGTCATTAACTAAATCGTCTCGTGATCGTGCATTGCAGAGATGAACCAAGGTGAGCATTTGTAGTTAAAAAGTACATAATATATAATGTTTTTTCTGAAAATAACTGATCGTTTCGCAAGAGAAGACCCTTATTTGTCAGCTGGGGTTGTGTGGATTACTTTAAAGCTGCCTAAATATGGATTTTGGACTGTCAAAATGGTCTATGGTGAGCCCTGTTCACTTGCATTAGATCCTGAAATGTTTTCCTCCATTACCTTAACTTTTCTTCGGCTGAAGTCAGTCAGTCATACGCATCTTGGATGGCCTGGAGGGTGAGTAAATAATCAGTCATTTTCATTTTTGGGTGAGTTATTCCTTTAAATGCTTTATTGTCTATCATCCACACATCAGCATCAGTTTGTGTTTCTTGCACAACTAAATGCATAGCACCACAGCATTGAACATTACAAGTTGTAGATCAGTCTTTCTATTGCATTAGCTTCACATAAATAAAAATACACACTGTGACCAATGTAGTCCGATTTAAAATTAAACGTAGGTCCATTTATGAGGTGAGGAAACACTGGCATCAGACTCTGAAAATCTCATATCAGTGAATCACTACTCCTTACTTCTAGTGTAAAGAGCATCTCATCTTGGGTTTGTGGTATGTGTATGTGCTAGGTGGGACAGCAAGTTCTGGTTCTTACCCTCTCTCTTCATCCCCATGGCCAGGCACTTCTGGTAGCGGCAGTACTGGCAGCGGTTCCTCTGACGTTTGTCCACCAGACAGTCCTTACTGTCTCTGCATGTGTAGCTCAAGTCCTTCCTCACAGTGCGCTTGAAAAAGCCCTTGCACCCCTCACAGCTGTACACGCCGTAGTGCTTGCCTGGAGAAAAGAGACACGAGATGAATTTATGGAGGTGGAAGATTTTAGTCAAAAAAAGGTGAACCTACATTTGATGGTTTCATAATGTTATCACATAATGTTGTTGTTGTTACATAAGTGTTACATAATGAAAAGCTTTTTTTGTTCATTTGTAAAGATTTGACAAAAGATTGTTAAAATATTTAATTTAAAATAAATGCTATTCTTTTGAACTTTCTATTTAACAAAGAATCCTAAAAAAAACTATCACAGTTTTCACAAAAACACTATGCCGCATCAAATCAGCATGTGATTTCTGAAGGACCATTTGACTCTGAAAACTGGAGTAAAAACTCAGCTTTGCCATCACAGGAATAAATTCCACTTTAAAATACATAAAACAACATTTTATTATATTACAGCTTTAGTGTATTTTTGATTAAATAAATGCTGCCTTTGGGAAGCATACGGGACTTTAAAATATTAAACAAAAATCTCAAACCCCAAACTTTCAAACAGCAGTGTATATATTTACAGTTAAAAATATGTTTTTTGTACACTGTAGGGGTGGACAATCTTCCCAAAATATCATATCACGATCTTGCCACACAAAACCACGATCTAAATCGCGAATTTTAAGATGCACTTTTAAGAATATCCAGAGTGGAACTAGCCTATGACTTACCTATTTGAACAATTTAAAACAGTATTGCATTAAACAACCAAAATGGACATTAAATCCTGAGTTAAACTTTAAAACACTGCACCACTGTATGAATCAAATATACGTTGCTTCTTATTAAATTTATAAAGTGATTCATTCAAGAGCAGTGAGTGATTTTTTCTCTGTCTTTTGTTGTTTGATTAACATTAATGACACAGACAGCAGTAGGTTTATTAGGCTGCTGTCTCTTTAAGACCGAACGCACGGATCTAATATACCGACATGCATTCAATTTCTTTCCCAATTATTTATGTTCACTTAAGACATAACTGACTGTCTTTATGTAAATACTTGCCGAGACAGACATTTTGACATATTATTGTGTATATTTGACTATTTATGCATTATGCAAATGCCTAAAACTCCTGTTCGTGTTAGCGCCGCCTCAGAGTGCGTGCACAGAACGCACCTGGGGAACAGACTCTTTTCAGACTCGCTTTTAATAACTCTTTTTACAATAAAGCATGTCCCACAGTAGACTGCATTTTACGACAGTCACATTGCATGATTGGACTGATTTGGACTACGTTTAGGAGAGGCGAAAGCATACCGCTTGAAATGATTGGAACAGCTTGCGGCACAAATCGAAACTAAAATTTGATTCATCGCAGAACTACTGCTAGCTCACTGAGTTGTTTTTTTTTTTAAATCCGTCACCACGCATGAAAGATACATATGGATGCCTGTTACCGCCACGGAATAAAAAATTCAACAGGTAATTGCGACTTTTTATCTCACAATTCTGACTTTTTTTTCTCAGAATTGCATGATTCAAACTCATAATTCTGACTTTTTTTCTCAGAATTGCATGATATAAACTCGCAATTGCAAGCTAAAATGTCATAATTGTGAGATATAGACTCGCAATTCTGAGAAATAATTGCGACTTTGTCTCGCAACTGTGAGTTTATATCACGCAATTCTGACTTTATATCTCGCAAAAGATAAAAAGTCGCAATAACCTTTTTTTTTTTTATTCAGTGATGGAAACGGGCTTCCATAGACACATGATAGAGACGTGTGATATAATTTGACCAGCCACAGTCATCTAATATGCAGTTTTAACATTATTATGAGGACATAAAAGATCACGGTCTCTACAGTTCGCTTGAAAAGTAGATCGTAGACGTCTTCGAGATCGATCACGACATAAAATTGACAGATCGCTCCACCCCTAGTACACCGCGACAATAATATAAAGCTTCTCATTACACATACCCCTAATTGATACTGTACCATTTTTTGATTCACCATTTTACAGTCCAATAACATTTAAACAATAGCTATAAACATTTAAAATGAACAATACATTTTTAAAAGAAAATATATTTTCAGTGTTTCCTTCAGAAGGGTTAGGGTTCGTGTTTATCAGTGACGTACCAGAGGAGCGATCCCCACAGATGGCACACAAGCGTTTCTGAGAGACCATAGGCCCTGGGCTGTGGGCGGACATCGGCTTCAAACCGAAGGGCGGTTTGACATCATCAGAGCTGCTGACTGCGTGCAGACCCGACATGGACACGGTGGAGTTGATCTGAGACGGGCGATGAGGTGAGAGATAGACAAAGAGATGAAGTGATAGAAAAAAAAATTAGTTGAATAAACGAACACTTTCTCATTTTTGTTAGTGATAAAACAAAAATCAAATCACAAGATAACAGGAAAATACATGTTAATTTCTTATGATCAGTACCACATGCCTGGTTAGCTCTCAACCCTTAACTGATCATAACCAGATAATAACAAGCCTATGACTTACCTATTTGAACAATTTAAAACAGTATTGCATTAAACAACCAAAATGGACATTAAATCCTGAGTTAAACTTTAAAACACTGCACCACTGTATGAATCAAATATACGTTGCTTCTTATTAAATTTATAAAGTGATTCATTCAAGAGCAGTGAGTGATTTTTTCTCTGTCTTTTGTTGTTTGATTAACATTAATGACACAGACAGCAGTAGGTTTATTAGGCTGCTGTCTCTTTAAGACCGAACGCACGGATCTAATATACCGACATGCATTCAATTTCTTTCCCAATTATTTATGTTCACTTAAGACATAACTGACTGTCTTTATGTAAATACTTGCCGAGACAGACATTTTGACATATTATTGTGTATATTTGACTATTTATGCATTATGCAAATGCCTAAAACTCCTGTTCGTGTTAGCGCCGCCTCAGAGTGCGTGCACAGAACGCACCTGGGGAACAGACTCTTTTCAGACTCGCTTTTAATAACTCTTTTTACAATAAAGCATGTCCCACAGTAGACTGCATTTTACGACAGTCACATTGCATGATTGGACTGATTTGGACTACGTTTAGGAGAGGCGAAAGCATACCGCTTGAAATGATTGGAACAGCTTGCGGCACAAATCGAAACTAAAATTTGATTCATCGCAGAACTACTGCTAGCTCACTGAGTTGTTTTTTTTTAAAATCCGTCACCACGCATGAAAGATACATATGGATGCCTGTTACCGCCACGGAATAAAAAATTCAACAGGTAATTGCGACTTTTTATCTCACAATTCTGACTTTTTTTTCTCAGAATTGCATGATTCAAACTCATAATTCTGACTTTTTTTCTCAGAATTGCATGATATAAACTCGCAATTGCAAGCTAAAATGTCATAATTGTGAGATATAGACTCGCAATTCTGAGAAATAATTGCGACTTTGTCTCGCAACTGTGAGTTTATATCACGCAATTCTGACTTTATATCTCGCAAAAGATAAAAAGTCGCAATAACCTTTTTTTTTTTTATTCAGTGATGGAAACGGGCTTCCATAGACACATGATAGAGACGTGTGATATAATTTGACCAGCCACAGTCATCTAATATGCAGTTTTAACATTATTATGAGGACATAAAAGATCACGGTCTCTACAGTTCGCTTGAAAAGTAGATCGTAGACGTCTTCGAGATCGATCACGACATAAAATTGACAGATCGCTCCACCCCTAGTACACCGCGACAATAATATAAAGCTTCTCATTACACATACCCCTAATTGATACTGTACCATTTTTTGATTCACCATTTTACAGTCCAATAACATTTAAACAATAGCTATAAACATTTAAAATGAACAATACATTTTTAAAAGAAAATATATTTTCAGTGTTTCCTTCAGAAGGGTTAGGGTTCGTGTTTATCAGTGACGTACCAGAGGAGCGATCCCCACAGATGGCACACAAGCGTTTCTGAGAGACCATAGGCCCTGGGCTGTGGGCGGACATCGGCTTCAAACCGAAGGGCGGTTTGACATCATCAGAGCTGCTGACTGCGTGCAGACCCGACATGGACACGGTGGAGTTGATCTGAGACGGGCGATGAGGTGAGAGATAGACAAAGAGATGAAGTGATAGAAAAAAAAATTAGTTGAATAAACGAACACTTTCTCATTTTTGTTAGTGATAAAACAAAAATCAAATCACAAGATAACAGGAAAATACATGTTAATTTCTTATGATCAGTACCACATGCCTGGTTAGCTCTCAACCCTTAACTGATCATAACCAGATAATAACAAATACTCTCTCCCCAAATCATTCAAACACCATTTCATCACAAATCCAACCCTTTGACCACAGGTGGAATATGATTAATCATTAAGAATCTTATTTTGATTGCATTCTAATGAACACAACCCCTCAACAGATGGTATTTAATCATCCAAACAGAACAACATTTCAAAATCTATGAGCAACAGTAAAGGGAAGAAGACATATGCATGAGAGAAGCAACTAGATGCAAGGTCTCACCTCTGTGTTTCTGGCAAACATGTTCATCTGTGAAGCAGAAATGCAGTGATGAGGAGGAGCGCAAAAAAAAGCTTGTGGCGTGAGGGAGGTGGTGCTAAAAAATTACTAAATCCACCATGCTTATTTTGTTTTGGCTAAACTCAAATTTAGACTATGAAATAAAAAAAAATCAGGTTTAGATCGACAGAAACCTACCTGAGAGACTTTGGAAATTAAGGTCAAAATACCAGATGGTCTGTTAAACATTAACAGTTTTAGAGGGAAAAACTCAAATGATCCCAGTGAATAAACAGTGATTAAAAAAATTCCCTCAAGCATAACTTAAAAATTTTCAGGTTCAACTGCATAGTGCTAGTCATTGTAAACTACTGTTCAAAAGATATTTTAATGTTTTTGAAAGATGTCTCTTATGCTCACCAAGGCTGCATTTATATAATTATAAATACTGTAAAAACAGTAATATTGTGAAATTACAATTTGAAATAACCATTTTTCAATTCAATATATTTAAAAAAAATCAATTTATTCCTGTAATGCAAAGGTTAATTTTCAGCATAATTACTCCAGCCTTTAGTGTCACATGATCCTTCAGAAATCACTCTAAAGTGCTTATTAACTCTTCAAGAAACATTTATTATTATCAATGCTGAAAACAGTTCTGTTGCTTAATACTTGTGCAAAACATGATTTTTTTTTTTTTTTTTTTAAGATTCTTTGATTAATAGAAAGCTCAAATGATTTACTTGAAAGAACTGTCACTTTTGATAAATTTAATGAATCCTTAGTGAATTAACATTCATTTAAAAAAAATATCTTCCTGGCCCCTAACGTCTGAATTGTAGTGTACTCCACAATGTTAATGATAACTATTATATTAGTCCAAATTTAACTACTCTGCAGCTTTTTTTCCTAAATCTACATGACTTAATTCAAATTTCATGTACTCAATAACGCTGTGCCAATAGACGATAGTATCGTGTATCAATGATAATCAGAGATGTCGCCTGTGGCTGATGCCTTTGACGATAGCAAGACGATTATCATTATTATCAGGCTAGTAATACTAATTAATATTAAGGCTTATTTGTTCCATCATATTTCTTTTTCAACATTTTTACAGTGTTGTGCGTTATAACCAATCACACACGATTCCGCTGAGTTTATGAATGCAGTGGCCAATCAGAAGCGTTCAGATGAGTCATCGATGAAACACCAGAGTTTTGTTGTTAAGTGCGTGCGCTCGCCGACTGGATTCTGCTCTCTCGCGAATTCTCTCATCATAAACAACAAAGTGCAGATGTACGTGCGATGTAAGTATAAGAGATTTATTCATCATACAGTGTAGATAGCTACACTGATTATAACGGGAGTTATAATCAGTGAACTCGCACTAGACTGAAGTCAGTGATGATGTTCTTTGATATTGTAAACGTTTTTTGCAAGTTTTCTGTAGCTGCTGTTTGAATAACTGCGGAAATATAAGCATTATAATTAGTAACTTACAGTGTTTCTATTCAATTGTTATCATGTTAAATACAAATTCAGTCATATTAAAAATATTTAATGACATGACATCCTAACATTAGGCTGCTTTTAGCCGTACCCTGGAGTTGGTTCACTCTCTGGCAATGAATCCAAGTAAGTAAATAATTAAATAAATTAGTAAGATAATATAGTGTATCCGCAATCTCACATCGTGGAATCTAGTCATAAAAACAGATTTTACGGTATAACGCGGAATGTCACGGAATTTGTCAAATTTTGGATGGATGAATCAAAAGTAGGTCAGTAAACTTAAATCAAAATGTGATATGGACTAGTGTCTATGAATATTAAACTGCAAAAATACTATTTGAATATGAATCCTGCGTGTTCTGCGTGTCTCTATGTTAATGAATGGCGCAGATGCGCGGTTTCGTTTACTACACACATACTGAAGCGTGCGTGATGCTCGCGGTGTTTTCAGCCTCTGCCGCCTCAATATAGGAGTACATGAACACATAAACAATCTCTAGAGCTGCTCCGAGAGTCACTTCATGAACATTTTACCGTTTCTTTTGAGAAAAACTATCGTCATATCATATACAAACAGAAAAGTTCTTCACAGCAACCCGTCAAAATAGAAGTTTGGTTTAACTTGAAATCACTGTAACAGAAATATATTAATAATGCAATGATAGTACTACTACTACTAATACAATTATTATGAAAACATTATTTTTAAAGGACTATTTACCAGAAAAATGTAAATACACAACACACTTTTTCGGAAACAAATAAAATAATTAATTATTTTTTATAAAATCAATTAATTAGAGATGTTTTTGATTATTACATTTTAATGGATTTTAATTTTATTTAAAATGAATGGAAAACAGAATTTTGTAAAAAATAAAATTGAATTTGAGAAAAAAATTAAACATTTCATAGGGCCTTAAAACTTAACTTTTGTTAAACTTTTAATAATTTGATGTTAAATATTGCAAGTTTCATGATTTCAATTAATTAGATGTGCTTTTTGATTAATAAAAATGTATTAACCATTTAACCATTAAAACGGAGTCTAGAAAAAAAAGAAAACAGAATAATAAAAAAACGGAATTTTGGAAAAAATTAAATGGAATTTGGGAAAAAATAAAACAAATTTCATAAGGCCCCAACTAGTAGGCAGACCTGGAAACCGAACGAGCTGGACTGTTTGTGTTGTAGCGCAAACTTGGGCCTTAAATGAAATATGGGGAGTCCAGTGGAAAGTAAGAAGTGTTAACATGGTAATGCTCACCTGTGGGCTGCTGATGGGGCCGTAGCCTACTGAGGGAGTTCCAGGAAGGCAAGGAGAACCCAGAGAGGAGCTGATGACGGAGAAGGGTGAGCCCATGCTGCTGATGGGACTGTTCACAGCCGAAGTGATGGGTGGCAGGGAAGTCATGGCGGCGGCTGAAGGGGCCAACGGTGGCGAACGCTGACCTGATGGTGGTGAGGAAACGGATGAACTGTCTGGACTACGAGAATCTGTTAGGAGAGAGGAAAAACTATACAGTCATATTCAGGGAGGCCAATCATTTTAAAGGGGTCATATGATGCGATTTCAATGTTTCCTTTCTCTTTGGAGTGTTACAAGCTCTTGGTGCATAAAGAAGATCTGTAAAGTTGCAAAGACTAAAGTCTCAAATTCAAAGAGATATTCTTTATAAAAGTTAAGTCAGCCACGCCCCCCTAAAACGGCTCGTTCTAACACGCCCCCCCATATTTACGTCACTATTTGGGCGGCATTATGCAACTCTTCCCACATCTTCACGCAAAGAAAGAAGGCGTAACTTTTATTCTCGCTGTAGTATTGTTGCCGCCGCCGCCATGTCGTGAAGGCGCTGTGTGCTTCGTTGTGAAAGCGAAACTACTTTGTTTGGTCTTCCAAAAGAGGACGATGTCCACTTCGTCATGCCTGGAGCTGATCTGTGCTGGTCAGTCACTGAGGAAATTCTTCAACTTTGCGCTGTGCATCGCCGGAACGTCTTTCACCGTGGACGAAGCGGAGTCCAGCACGGGGTCGTCACATGTGGCTGCCGCAGGCATCACAATATGGTAGGGACGTAACATTTCCGTCACACGCTTGAGGAATTCGGCCAATCACAACGCACTGGATAGCTGGCCAATCACAGCACACCTCGCTTTTCAGACCGATGA